TTGGTTCAACTAAAGTTGGAGAAACTGACACCCGCCAGCCACCTATGTGCAAAGCACGTCGGTAGAACCAATCTCGCGTAAGCATACGCGTAATGTCGGTCCGGGCTGCTTCATCCAACAATACCGCCGAACCAAAGTATGACATGCTGGTAAACAGTATGACTTGTATCGCCCACAACTCACTTGTGTTCTACTCGTGTATATAACATCTATGCGTAAAACCTGGCTCTGATACCACTGTTGGGGAACGTAGTAATTTTAAAATTTTCCTACGAACACGCAAGATCATGGTGATGCATAGCAACGAGAGGGGATAGTATGTCTACGTACCCTCGTAGACCAAAAGCGGAAGCATTTATCAACGCGATTGATGTAGTCGTACACCTTCACGATCCGTCCCGATCAAGTACCGAACGTACGACACCTCCGCGTTCAGCACACGTTCAGCTCGATGACGTCCTCGCCTTCTTAATCCAGCAAGAGGGGCGAAGTAGTAGATGAGTTCCGGCAGCACGACGACGTGGTGACGGTGTTGGTGAAGAACAATCTTCGCAGGGCTTCACCTAAGCACTACAAAAACTATGACAGAAGATAAACTAGAAGGGACGGGGTTGCCGGCACACGGCTTGGTGTTTCTTGATGTGTCTTGGGTGCTAGCCCTACCCCTATATTTATATGTTGAGCCTTGGGGTCGAAACTTGGAGTAAAAGCCTCCACAAAGTCGGTTTCACCCGAAAGGCAAGAGTCCTTCTCGGACTCCACGGCCAGACGCCAGGGTTCCCGGTGTCTGGACCCAGACACCAGGGACCCGGGCGTCTGGCCCCTGGACTATGCAAAACTTCCTGTTTGCGCTTTCCAAAAACCTTGTGGGCTTTCCCTTTGGCCCAAATAAAGTGTTCTCGTACCCAAACATTTCGGGAAACATCCGGAACCCCTTCCGGAGACCAAACACCATTATCCCATATATAAAACTTTATCTCCGGACCATTCCGAAGTTCTTCGTCATATCCGTGATCATATCCGGAACTCCGAACAACATTCGGTTACCAACATACATAACTCATAAATACTGTATCGTCAACGAACGTTAAGTGTGCAGACCCTACGGGTTCGAGAACTATGTAGACATGACCGAGAAACTTCTCTGGTCAATAACCAATAGCAGAACCTGGATGCCCATATTGGCTCCTACATATTCTACGAAGATCTTTATCGGTCGATCGCATAACAATATACGTTGTTCCCTTTGTCATCGGTATGTTACTTGCTCGAGATTCGATCGTCGGTATCTCAATACCTACTTCAATCTTGTTACCGGCAAGTCTCTTTACTCGTTCCGTAATAAATCATCCCGCAACTAACTCATTAGTTACAATGCTTGCAAGGCTTATAGTGATGTGCACTACCGAGTGGGCCCAGAGATACCTCTCAGACAATCGGAGTGACAAATCCTAATCTCGAAATACGCCAACTCAACAAGTACCTTCGGAGACACCTGTAGAGCACCTTTATAATCACCCAGTTACGTTGTGATGTTTGGTAGCACACAAAGTGTTTCTTCGGTATTCGGGAGTTGCATAATCTCATAGTCATAGGAACATGCATAAGTCATGAAGAAAGCAATAGCAACAAACTAAACGATCATCATGCTAAGCTGACGGAATGGGTCAAGTCAATCACATCATTCTCCTAATGATGTGATCCCATTAATCAAATGACAACTCATGTCTATGGCTAGGAAACATAACCATCTTTGATCGACGAGTTAGTCAAGTAGAGGCATACTAGTGACACTCTATTTGTCTATGTATTCACACATGTATCAAGTTTCCAGTTAATACAATTCTAGTATGAATATTAAACATTTATCATGAAATAAGGAAATAAATAATAACTTTATTATTGCCTCTAGGGCATATTTCCTTCAAAGCTGCTTAGAAAATTCTAGAACTGAAGGCTTCTGGGTTCTCTAGTATTCTCCATGCTTGCCTAGCTAGAAGAGTCATATTAAAAAAATTGAAGTCTCGAACCCCTAGGACTCCCATGTGTTTTTACATGCTCATAGTGTCCGAGGACACCCAATATGGTTTGATATGTCCCCTCTTAGAGCATCTCCAGCCGCGCCCCCAATAAGGCCCCACAGGTGATATTTCGGTCGCCGGCGTCGAAAAATCGATCCAGTCGCGTCCCCAAAGGCCCTTTTTTCGCTAGCTCAGGCCCAAATTGGCGTCGGCGGACCCAGGCTGAACCCGACGTGCTGGGGGCGCTTGGGGACGCTGGTCGAATCGTTTTTAGCGCGAAAGTCGGCGGGCCCTCCTTGGCAGCGACTCGGCTCTTCTCGCCGCTTCGTCGTCCTCATCGCCTCGGTTCCCTCGGCGAATCAATGCCAAACTGCCGCGCGCTGTCGCGCCGGTCAGCCTCCTCCATTGACGCCTCACGGGCGGTGCAGTGAAGACCGGACCACGCGTGTCCCTCGCCCGCCACGCGTAACATGGAGGCACGCGTACGCGCGGCGCCTCCACCTATATAAGCCGCCCCCAGCGCGCCGATGACGCATAGACTCTCCACCGCCGACGCCCCGTCCTTCCTCTCCTATCGCCGTTCCAGTTCAACCATGGCCGAGCGCTTCCCAGGCGACAGCGCGGCGGCGAGCGGCTTCGATCGCCGCCACCTCCACGAGGACGAAGCTCGGCTCCTCTATGAAGCCGAGTACCCGGTCCCACCGAACATGCGGGTGCCTGGGGCGTGGAGGATCAGCGCCGGGAGGGTCCCGGTGCCCCCACCGCCCACCGGAGCGGCGCGGCGTGCGGAGATCACCCATATCCGCGCCTCTCTGCCGCAGGCGGTGAGGGAAGGCCCACGGTACGTCCCCGAAAGCCCGTTGTGGGAGCCCTACTTCCGCCGCCGCCACGTCGAGCAGCTCGAGGCCACCAACGGCGTCGTGCCCTCCGGGAGGCTCAACTCCGAAGGCCGCCACCGATGGTGGGGTGTGCCCGGCCGCACGCTGGAGGCCATCCTCGAGTACATCGAGGGCGGCAACACGCCCAGGCTGGAGTACCCCGCCCCCCATCCTTCTCCCGCCGGCGTGGGAGCTCGTGGACGCTGAGGCGCATGGACCTGGGGGCGTCCTCCTCCTCGTTCGGCCGCTCGACCGGCTCTCCCTGCCTCCGCCCCGTTAAGCTGGAGCCCCAGGACACGCCGGTCAGCCACCGCACCCGCAGCTCCGGCGTCCGCATCGCCGACTCCTCTCCCACCTCTGGCCGCCTCGTCCTCGTCAGGCCGAAGGCGGAGCCTGGACTCCCCGCGGATTACGAGGCCATAGTCCGGCGCAGCTTCTTCGACGAGGAGGCCCTAAAGTGGGCGCGGGACGATTACCTCCGCGACGAGATGGTCCGGCAGCGCCGAGCCCTGGAGGAGACAGCCGCCCGCAAGCGTGGGCGCGAGGACGAGCATGGTGTGGTGATACTCGACAGCGACGAGGACAAGGACGTCCCCGGACCGTCCAACCCACCGCGCCAACCTGGGGAGGGGTGCGGCAGGGACGGCGGCCGCGGAGGAGGCGTCGGCGACGACGACGGCGGCGGCGGCGACTACACGCAATTCTACAGGCTCCTCGGCATGTAGAGCTTCAAGGGCGGCGGGCGGCGAGGGCGACGGCAGGCCGCTGCGAGTAGCATTTTTTTTTTGTAAAATATTTTAAATATGTATGAACTCGCCGAAGTTTGGATAAATTTGCGTCTACTTTGTGGTTTTCAAATAAATCGTGCGCGCCGCGACTGTGGGGGGGGGGGGGCATCACGCCCCCAACACGCGGTTTTCGCCGATGCGACTCGAGGGGGCGATTTTTAGCGCCTCCTGGGAGGCCAACGGCTGGAGATGCTCTTATACCCACCAAAATGCCTTAATCATTGAAGTCAGATGTTCACATAGACCTCTTGGTCTTTTAAAACATGACATAATGAATACTGGGATGGCTTGTGCAAGTGATTTGATCAAGACCTTCTTCCCTGTAGCGGACATATTTTCTCCATCTACACTTGTTAGCGATCGATCGATCGCTAACATTGCGGGCGTAGGGTGGGCCAGCCCATTACCTTTGCTAGGCCTTGTAGCTTAGCGTTGGTACGATCTGTGGTTTTTTCTTCCCATTTCTTTTCTTTTTTCCCGCAGCATAAAAACCCCCAAAATTTTAAAAAAAAGCCGCACAAAGTCTGAAAAATGTTTAATAATTCAAGTAGTACTTACCAATTTGAAGAAATGATCATGGATTTAAAAATTGTTTGTTAGTTTCAAAAAAATTCAACAATTCAAAAAATGTTTGCTAAATTTTAAAAGTCTTCATGAGTTTGGAAATTTTGGCGTGGATTTTTAAAAAATAGTTAATTTTAAAATGATCATGAATTCGAAAAACAATCATGGATTTGGAAATGTTCATGAATTAAAAAATTTACTCCCTCCGATCCAAATTAATTGACGCTGATTTTGCAAAACTGTTACTAAGAAGTTTAAATATATTTCTTTGTAAAAAAGAACATAAAAAAAACAGATTTCCCCTACAAAAACTTAGAAAACAGATGTGTTTCCATGTTGCCGTTGCCATATGCGCTGGCCAGCGAGGCGGCCATGCATTGCATAGCGCACATGATCCAAGTCGTGTTGCTATTTCTGGCGCCATGGCGGTTTTGGCGGGCGCAAACAGCAGGTCAGGAGCCTCCGCCTCCGCCCTTCCGCCATTACCCAGCTCCCCAACAACGTGGCGCAGCAGATAGAGAAAGAGGGGCAAAGGGGGGGATCGAGAAGGACGATTATCGCGGATGGCCGGCACGATGTGACTTCTTCTGGTCAAATCTGAGGGAGCTAGCAAGCAAAGGCTCGCCACGGAGCTCGCTCGACCGCCCGGTCTCCGCCCCGTCAAGGTTCCGCCCCGTCGAATCGGATCCGCGTCCGAGCTGATCGACCGGGATAAAACGCCTGTACGCGTTGTCACCGCCCGGAAGGGCATGGCGTTGGCCGCCGCCGCGTCGTCGGTCGGCGTCGCCTCCGTCGCTCTGCTCTTGATCCTCGTCGCCAATACCTCGGCTTCGGATGCTAGTTTGGAAGGGAGGCGCGCCTTGCCAGGTTTGCCCCGCTGTTCATCTCCCTCTTGCTTCGCTCGGCGAGGGCGAGCGTCGCCAATATATCGTCTCTGCATGCATGCCCTAATTGTTCGGCCTCGCGTGTGCACGGCTGCCAATTCGTCAAGCTTAATTGATCAATCTGTGTTCTTCTAATTAATTCGATTTGGTTTGGTTTGTGCAGGTCGCGAGATTCACCTTGAGCCAATTGTCACTGCAGAAAATGCACTGGTGCCGGTGGGCTCATCGCCATGGAGGAGATCGGCGGAGGAGACACCACCGTCGCCGGCGAACAACTCGCTCGTGCTGGCGGCGAAGAGGACCCGCCGGAACGACCCCAGCGCGAACAACACAGTGTACGGCGGCGGGTGGAACATCAGCGAGATGCATTACTGGGCTGTACGCACGGAAAACCACCCCACATTTCCGCATTTCGTCCATGTGGCGCTTCTCATCGTGCGTGTTGTGTTGCATTTCCACGCGCGCCTGCAGTCCGTGGGCTACACCGGCGTCCCGCTCTTCTTTCTCGCCCTCGTCTGGTTCGTCGGCTTCGGGGTCGTCATGCTCGTCATCTCCTGCTGCTGGTGCTGCTGCTGCTTCTGCCGGGACCGGAGCGACGACTATTCGCCCGCCTCCTTCAACGCCTCCCTCGTCCTCCTCGTCATCCTCACCATCGCCACCATGTAATCCGTCCGTCCGGTCACCGGTTCAGTATATATCCCTGTGATCGAATGCTAATGATCGCCGTGTAATCAACTAATCATCTGTCTGGTGATTGTTTGATTTCAGCGTGGGGTGTCTGCTGCTGAACATCGGGCAGATGGCGTTCCACACCAGCACGATCGACACGGTGGACTACGTGGTGGGGCAGGGCAACCTGACGGTGGACAACCTGAGGAACTTCGCGGGGAGCCTGGCCGCCGCCAAGAACATCGGGGTGGACCAGATCTTCCTCCCTGTCGAGGTCCAGCGCAAGATCGACGTCGTCGAGGAGAAGCTCAACTCCTCCGCCAACGAGTTCTCGGCCCGCATCGTGCTCAACTCCGACAAGATCAAGAACGTGGTAGACCTGATGTGAGCATGCATTGCATTTCTCTTCTGAATTTCGTCCCCCGCGCGTACGTCTAGCCGCCCGAAACTGAATTTTTTTCTTTCTGCTTCTTGTAGGCAGGTAGCCCTGATGGATGTTGGAAGTATCATGCTTGTCCTTGCCATACTCGGACTCAGTAAGCATCAACATACCATCTTGTTGTGGTTTACTTGCTACACATACTGAATTACTTGCTGTTCTTGACGCCAAATTTGCAGTATTCTCCGTGTTGGGGCTGCAGTGTTTTGTCTCCCTGTAAGTGCAGTTCCGTTCAATCAAACTCTGTCCATGCTAGCTGCGTGTTTTCTCCACCAAACTCCGGTGTGAATGATGTGATATGATCGTATCTGCATGCGGTGCAGGCTGGTGATCGCCGGATGGGTACTCGTCACCTTCACCCTCATGATGGCCGGCGGCTTCGTCCTCCTGCACAAGTAAGCAAACCAAAGTTTCTGGACGTGTTGAGGTTCAGGCACTCACCGACGGAGACATGCATGTGTACGTGCAGCGTGGTGGGGGACACGTGCGTCGCCATGGACGAGTGGGTGACGCACCCACAGGACCACACGGCGCTGGACGACATCCTCCCCTGCGTGGACGTGGGGACGGCGAACGAGTCCATGCACCGGAGCGAGGAGGTGACGGCGCAGCTGGTGGCGCTCGTCAACAACGTCATCGTCAACATCTCCAACCGGGACTTCCCGCCGGGGCTGCAGCCGCTCTACTTCAACCAGTCGGGGCCCAAGATGCCGGTGCTCTGCAACCCCGTCAAGCCGGACATGAGCCCCCGCGAGTGCGCCTCCGGCGAGGTCGACTTCAAGACGGCGCCGGGGGAGTGGAAGCGGTTCCAGTGCCAGGCCAAGGGCCCCGTCGGGAAGGAGGTGTGCACGACGGTGGGGCGGGTCACGCCGGCGGCCTACAACCAGATGACGGCGGCGGCGAGCATCAGCATGGGGCTGTACGAGTACGGGCCGTTCCTGATGAACCTCCAGGACTGCACCTTCGTCCGGGAGACCTTCACCTCCATCAGCGTCAACAACTGCCCCGGCCTCCGGTATTTCAGCAAGACCGTCTACCACGGCCTCATCCTCGTATCCGCCTCCGTCATGGTCTCCATCGTCTGCTGGATGGTGCACACCAGGCAGCGCAGCCTTCGCGGCAAGCAGGAGTGATTGTGATCCGACGACGGCCCCCGATCGAGCGGAGGTGGCACCGAATCCTCGTCGGATCGATATTCTCCTAACCGTACGCCTGGCCGCTGCTACGTACGTGCACGACGACTCATCGATCTGATTGCAGCTGTGTACATATATGGATCGTGTATGATGGAAAATTGAAGTATGGTTGCTTTCGCGAATACCCAAAGCTTACGTATCTTTTCATTATCACAAGGAAAAACAGAGTGAAACCAAGTGTTGTGATGATGTGATCTTTTTCAGCACCACGATCCGACTAGCGATACATTATCAGTCGGTATAAAGGCTGCTAACAGTGATGGATATGATAAGTTTGTGTATATTTAGGGTGAAAACCCACGATCTTTCCTTTCCGACTAATCAGTCAACGTCAGCATGCAAACATTGTGCATTTGCTAAAGGTGAACACGTCAACATTGACACAAAGTATAATGACCCCTTCTTAAAGCTTTTGTCTAGAAGTAGATTGTTATTCGTTTAATTAGGTCACGTTTAAAAGACAATCTTCTTCTGTAAACCTATTGGATGCCAGGTTTTGTTTGACACCATTAAATAATAAATACATTCCATTTTACTCCCAATTTTGATATTCTTATGCTCATTTTTTTTGGATATTCTTAGAGCCTGTTTGGAATCTCTGCACTCTACCAAATCCGCTCCAGTATTCCTGACTCCACAGAGTTCGTGGAGTTCAGTTTCAGCCACTCTTGAAAAATGAACTGAAGGCTGTTCCACTCCGCTCTTTTAACTCCGCAGAGCTCGTAGAGTTCGGCGCTGCTCCCTCCGCTCCGTCCGCTCCGGGAGCTCACTTGAAGAGCGGAGTGGATCCGAACAGGGTCTTAAGAGAGATTATTGGGTCTCACTTTGGGCTCTGGCTAAAGCTTTTCTGAGTCAAGATGCAGACGAATAGCGCCCAGCCCACGGAATGCGGTGCTGCCATGATAAGCATATACCGTGCTCGATATGGCCGGAAGGCAAGTTCATCAAGACCGTAAAAAACTGCCAAGAGGAGTGATTTTACATGGCCGATGTTCCCTTGGGTAACCGAGAAGGCATCCCCACCCTTTCTTCGCTGCCCCCTCCCCCAGAACGACTCCATTCCTGGATCCTCAAGAACAATGCTTCAGAGGATGCTGAGGAGCTGCCCAGGCATATGGAAAGGGTGCAACATTTTTTCACTTCCGGCCGATCAGAGCGGCACGCAGGCAGGCAATATCATCAAG